TAATGTTCTTTTTAGCAACGTCATATGACCCCTTTAAAACATTAATCTCGTAACATTATTTATTGCAGTTTTAATTTTGCAGTGTAAATTATTTAATTTGATTTGTAACAGCCTCAGTGTATAGTGAATTTCTTGATCAATTGTAAGAATTTGACATGAAAGATGACGCATACAATGAGGTTGTATTAATAAGGTTAAAAAATATTGTCATTTATAAAGGTAAATAATATCCTGGGGTAAATATTAAAAACAAGATTAAGTATGTAAAAGCTGATAGAACACTGATGAAAATATTGCTTCATAATTAATTGTTTATGTTGTTTACGTGGGGATATTTCGTATGGGATATTGTCTACTGATATGAAAAGTTCACTGTATATCATAATAAATAGCATTTTTGACAGCAATGATATTTTGTTTTCGTTTTACATTAAGGACATTAAATATTACATATATGTATGTAATATAATGTGTAATTCCATCGCAGGTTTGGTCTTAAATTTCACATAAGGTGGTATTAAAAAGTCTTAAATTTTACTTGTTCATATCTGTAGACACCCTGATTATTAATGATGATGATGATCAATAACAATCATTATAATAATTATTATTGACTATTATTATTATTATTATTTATTTTTAAAAAAAATTACCATCAACAATAATATTTAACATCATAATAATAATAATATAATAATAATCAAAAACAACCATTATAATAATAATAACAATTATTATTATCATTAAAAAATAATTACCATAACCAATAATAATATTCTTAACTTTTGTTGTTGTTGTTGTTAGTATTATTATTAAAAATTAACTTTACAATAATAATAATAATTAATACTTAAGAAAAAAACATTGTTATTAATTAAAACATTTAGTGATATAAGTATTTAATAATAAAAATACATATTGAAAATTTAGCCAAATAATAGCTATATCTACTGATCTGTATAATTCTCTGTCATAGATCAGTGGCTATATCTCATATTTGGTTCATAGCATCCTTAATAATTATCTTCTTTATTTCAGGTTGATATACGGTTTCCTCAGCCAGGTTCTGAGGACCCGAGCAAGGTTACTGTAACCGGACTGCCGGAGAATGTTGATAATGCCATTGACCATCTACTTAACCTGGAAGAAGAATATGTGAGTTGGGAATGCAGAACTGCAGATGCTTCTTTCTAGACAGATATATTCCATCACTTGTGTTTTCCTTTCTTTTGCATTATCACTCAACTCATCTTCCCTCTTAGATGTTGAGTGTCACAGAGACAGAGACTATGGCATCTTATATGAAGCCTCCTTCAAAGACGATGGGGACAGGAGGAAATGACGAGGATAACAAAGCTCTGGCTAAAGGCTTTGTTGTGCGGGACGCCCCCTGGAATGCACAAGGCAACAAGGTTTAAAAGTTTGCCACTGTAAAACCTTAATTTCATGTTGTCCCTGTCATCGTCATGTTAACGATTTTCTTTTTCCTCTTTTTGCAACATTCAGGCACCAGACATGAGCAGTGCCGAAGAGTTCCCCACGTTCGGATCTGGAATAGCACCGAAACAGACGTCTGCATGGGGACCCAAAAAGTGCTGAATGAAACACATTTGTTCTGACTCCAGATCTCACATCTCTAGCACTTGAGAACAAGAACATTCCATATTTTTTGCTTTTGTCTTTCTCCTGGTGCGTTTAGTGCCCTTGGAGGAGTTACTTCATTCCTCTGCTTCCTTTGCCTGAATAGTTCCTTATCATTTGGTGGATAGATGTTCTTCAACACTCCTCACCTGCCCGCAGGTGGTCACACGTCAGTTCCTGTTGTGCCAGTCTGAAATCACAGAAACGGAACCTCAAGTAGCAGTTACCGTCATTATCCACCTGTTGTTTTCTTGAGTTGGGCGACAAATGGCTAGGCATTGAAGAATGAGGCAGAAGTTTTGTATTTCTTGGACTATTTATTGCAAGAGAACCCCTAGTTCACTGTGTATAAGTTCTTTTTTAAGTCCTTGATGGTTTTTACTGTTCTTTTTATGTGTGTGTGTGTGTGTGCGTACGTGTGTGTGTGTGTGTGTGGGAGAGAGAGAGAGAGATCCATTCTAAATGCACCCGGTTTGCTGAATTTTCATTTGACACTGTAAGAGAGATGAAGGCTGGTCAATACTGATCTTTTAAAAAATATTTTCTGTATATATTAGTGTATTTATACGTCTGTTATTTATTGATTTTCTTCAGTGACTGAATATTCAAACTCTGATGAGTGTGAATGGTTTTGAAGCATAAAAAGTATTAGGTATTATTTTGCAGTATGCTTGGTTTCTTTTGCTTCAGGAAAATATTTTTTTGTGCGTGTCTTAGTCATAGTTCATTTTACACAAGAAGTGTGTGTGTTGTGTGATTTACTTTGAATCTCAAAATTTTGTCTTTGAATCTGCTGTTTATATTTGAAGTATTTTCCACTTCACCTTTGTCTTCAGCTTTTCCAAAGCGCAGGAAATGAAGATTTCCTTTTTCAAACCAGAGCATGCATGACATACGTTCGAGATTTCAAATTAAAAGTCTCTGGAAAGCTGTTTATTAACATAAAATTTCACAGTAAAAGATTATAATTAAAGCAACTGTTTTGTGTATTTTGCGACTTTAGAGCCCCCTACAGTTAAGTGAGTGGAATTCACTGTCGTAATTACACTGGATAGCTGTGCGTTGATGCTCTTTATGCGGTACAAACTTATGCTGCGTTCAAGTCCTCCTGGTACGTTCGTACTTACGAGTTGACAAGTCGTAATTACGACGTCAGGTGCGTTCAAGTCAGTTTAGTCGGCACAAGATGGCGGTGTACCTTCTTTTAATAAATTACAAGAAAATACAACAGGGTCTGCATTTTTTTACTTGGATTTCAGCTGCGTAACAAGAACATGACCAATTTAAGTTTATAGGACAACTAAACTATCAATTTAAACAAAAATTTACCGTCAACTACAGACGTTGCATCCATCAATTCCGGACTCGGAATTCGGAGACTCGGGGCTTAAACAAAATTTCGAGTTTCCCACTCCTAATAACGACTTTGTGGTGGCGTTCATGTGCGTTCAACTCGTAAATACGATCTATCCGACATGACTTGAACGCACCATTACATCCTCCCAGAACACAAGTTTAGGGGAAGCGTGAGAAAGAAACAAGCCAGTGTAGTAGCAGAATTTCAAGGTAAAAAAAAAACAACAACTTACAGTTGCTTTAACATGAATGACAAACTCACACTCATGCAGATTGCTGGTTCTCAATTTGCATTTATTTATTTAAAGTTGATTGGTGTAATTTTTTTAAATGTTAAATTAATGTCTTAATTTACAGAGAGAGCTGTAAGCAGCCATTCATAGGTGGCACTGTGGCGCTATCAATACATTTCAACGCATTGCTCTGTTTGTTTGAGCATCACAACCAGCCTGTTACAGCAACATTGGCTCAACCAATGGCATGAGTTTGTTCGGATGACATAATAGAGGGGGAAGTATTGCATGAAGCATATTATTTTTTTGCAATTCCATGTGGTGGCGCAGAAACTACACACTTCACCTTAAAATTGGGATGTTTTGACATTGAGGGTCATTCCCTGTCCTGCTAGTTGAGTCCTGTGAATCACTGTTGTATGTGGTGTGAACGTATGCTTGTGTACATAGTTGAGTGAAGAACCATCTACAACCAACCGGTGATAGAAACACTATCAGCCTTAAGAAGTTATTGCCATAGGATATTTTTACCAAGATTTGATGACATTGATATGCAACACTACAATAACATGTCAGTGACAGAACTTTCCTACTCCGAATAAAAACCCATTCAAATAAAAGGAAATGTATTTTTGCTTTTCATTATTTCTCAGGTTTTACCTAAATGTCAAAAAGTGAGAAAATAAGATCATGTTTATGACTAAAAAAGATCATCAGTTCAAACATAATTAAATCTAGTTCACTAAATTGTATAATTATATATTACATAAATGGTATAGGCCTACATGTGTTGTTTTTAACATATCAATATATTAATATTTATTAATACGCTTATTCAGCATAGACACTTTAATTTGAGCAAAGGTCAGAAAGACATTTCCAATATTTCAAAATATTTCTATTTCTTTTGAACTTTGTTAATTACAGAACCCTAAAAAATGTATAGTCGTTTCCATTAAATATATATATATAGAATATATTAAGTATTAAACATTGATAAGAAATCTTTCTTGACACTGAAGACTGGAGTAATGACTGCTGAAACTTCAGCATTGCCATCACTGCAATAAATTACATTTTAAAATATATTAAAATAGAATATAGGTATTTTTAAATTGTAATAATATTTCACTTTTTTTTTTTTGATCAAATAAATGCAGCCTTGGTGAGCACAAGATACTTCCAGACCTTAAAGTTTTGAATGATAGTGTTTAAAAACCAACTAGTCAATTAGTGAGGTTTATTTCAATCAATTATATATGGGTCATTATTTTTGCACTATGGTAATGACAGAAATATTTTTAATTGACATGAAATTTCATGAGATTGAATTAATGGAAGACACAGACACGGTTTCCATGTTGTGCATAACTGTCTCTTTTTTGGATTTTTATTTTCTTACAAACCAGGAAGGTAATGTTAGTGTTATGTAACAGGCTGTACAACACAACGTAAAGACATAAAAATAACACAAACATAAACAAATAATACAAACAACTGAAAAGCAGCAATGGGCCGACACAAACCCTGTGTTTTCACATTTTCCGATCTACAAGCAAGCATTCATTCAGACATAATACAAAAAAAAAAAAAAAAGCAGCAGGGGGCCGACACAAACCCTGTGTTTTCACATTTTCCGATTTATATAGCAAGCATTTATTCAGACATCGCCCTTGGCAATAAAGCAGGATTGCTAATGCAAGATGTCAAACAAATGGATAGATATGCCTTCACAGAGGGTACTGTAAATCTAGATACAATCAAAAGACAGTTGATTTTTTTTTTTGTTGCTGTTGTTATTTTTCCAGCAAGAGCTTACATTTGTGCAATCTTAGTCATAAGAGAATACAAAAACAATGGCAATATATCTAGCATGGAGTAAACAATCTATTAAAAACAAATCACATTCCCAGTGTAAACACCAATTCTGGGGTCAGGGATTCGACTAGACAACTTCCCACAATTCCTCATGAGTCCAGGCACATCTACCCGATAGCTGAATAAACACTTGAATAGGATGTTGAACGCAGAACATAAACAGACCTTTCCATTCAGTTTTTGTACCTGCCACCATTCATTTCAGAAACACTTACATCCTGGTTCTTACACTAAAGTTTGTGAGTAAACAAATGGGCTCAACAGCACACATTACTTCAGAACAGAAGACAAACTCGAACATAACCCATGTGCAAACAACATCTAAAGCAGTGAAGCATTTCAAACAGAAGACAAGAACTTCCACAGGTGACTGACCTTAAATAATGGACGCGCATTTGGCCAAAACGGACACGCGAATACACGCATAGCCTCATAAACTCTCTTCTCCAGGTCTTTTTAGAGTGCTTGGGGGGGAGGGGCGAAATTATGTTTGTATGCATCCATCCAGTTAAACTATGTACTTTTGTCACAATTTAGGTCACATGAAGTGATTTTAGTGGTATGATGGGTTAAACGGAAGAAATGTGAGTTCCACTCCATAGATGGTTACGGTTATATGTGTATTCACCAGAAAAAAATCTCGCCTTCTCGTCTTTATGTAGCTATTTTAATCCACTTTGCATTTGACTATACACTGTATTTGCTGTAATTAGTGAATAAATACACAGCTGTAAGAACCAAAAACAGAGCAGAATCTGTAAACAAAGTAAGCGATGAAATAACAGTAACACTGAGTTTCTTCCTGATTAGGTGATTTCGCTGCATCTTTTATCTTGTTGACATTGTCGTCTTGGTTATTTCCAGGTTGATTTGTCCGTTGCAAGTCTTAAGAAAAACACAAGTATAAATCCAGGGCTGTGCTATGAATAGGTGGTTCTGTGTTGCTTCAGTCCAGTTTTATTTCTGTGAGAACAACAGGCTCTCAAAGCAAAAAACCGAGGGGGGGAGGGGGTGATAGATAGATTTAGATGTATGAAGAGACAGAAAAAATAATGGAGAGCCTGCTGAGTGACGGAATTTAATGAGAAAGACTAAAAATCGCCCACCAGTGTCCGAAACATAAAGTGCAGGCAGTGTCTTTGTCTCTGGGGATTATCATCACCCTCCTTCAAACACAAAAAGTATGTCTGAAACATGCAAAGATGAATGAGATTGGGCAGCAAAACAATGCTTAATCCTCAACGTGGGGGGCTGCGCTCAGATTTGGTTGATAGTGAGGAAGATAATGCCTCGAGTCTCTTTTTACTCCACCCGTATGAGCAGGCCGTACAGAAGCGTGCCTCCTTTTTCCTTGGTGATCCAATCGATTTCTGCATTGCTGAATCGAGGGTCAAGGGGCTCGCTGATTCCCAGCGATGTCGGCCCCACTTTGTAGGAGCCTGGCCGCACGCACACCTGGAAGCCCACCTGGGCCTGGTGACAGCGGAGGGAACGTGGGTCTCGGAATCTGTGCAGAAAAGTGTAACTGTCATCATTTTCAAATTCCATTTCTAGACAATCGTGTTATATTCTCTCTGGTCTTTTTCTCTAGAAGCACCGCTGTTGACTTACTGCACTTTGGGGGCAAAGACCTCCAGGCCCGAGTAGCGCATGGTTGGAGAAAGCTGCACACGGGGAATCTCTCGCTCTGGGGCGCTATTCTCCTCGGGCTCCCCGTAGCTGCCGTGACCCTCTGTCTTCACCGGGGACAAGGAGAAAATGGAGGACGATTCTGCTCATGGGAAAACAGAGAAGCTCAGCTGTGCAGATCTATTCTGATCTCGCTCTAGCTAACTCACACGTTCATGCATTTCATTATCAGATGATTTGCTGTTTGACTTTTTTTGCCATTCATCTTGAGTAAACAAAAAGAAAAGAAAAAAACCGGAACAAAACCTACTGTTTAAACAGATTGAATACCAAAAACATAGCAAATAATGGTATTTAATATACTGATGAGACATAATTAAAAAAAAAATTCTATATAGTTTTCAATACAATACAAAAAATATTACAACATTAATAAATAAATCACATTTATTTTAATATTTAATAAATAACTCTTTATTTACTATACATTAACTATACATTTAGTTATTATAGTTGTATTATATATATTGCACTACCGTACAAAAGTCTGGGGTGGGTAAGATTCGTTTTATGTTTTTGAAAGTCTCTTATGCTCAACCAGGCTGCATTAATTGATCAAAAATACAGTACAAACAGCAATATTGTTAAATATTACTACAATTTAACCCTTTAACTGTCACCTGTCCCCTCTGTGGGACGCCTAAGTTTACTTCACTATATTACAATTAAATCCTAATCTAATCATGACAAACTATATATCGTTGGAAAGGTCTAAGACTCCTAAATAGATATTTTACCACTGTTTTTTGTTAAAAATTATGTAGGAAAAGTAATAGATTAATTTTTGACAAGAGTGCACCTCAAAAATCTACATATACAGGAGTTCTGACCTTTGTCAAAAAAAGTCTTCTTTGTTTGTTGCCTTTTTCTCACACTTTAGAAATCATCAGAAATTATATATCAATTGAAAACTTTAAATCTCAAAATT